TATCTTGTATGAACAGGTATTGTACTACAGTGGTCAACCTTTTAGACTCAACAGACTCAACAATATGTCCAATTTTCTTGAATAGATCTCTGGTCCTCCCTATTCTATTGTTTTCTTCTAACTATATGAATTTTGTTGTATAAGTTTTGTTTATTGCCATGTTTCTCCATTTTTTTCTATGTGAACAAAAAACTAAGTTTACTGTTTCTCAATGAATGCATAGCATCACCTTAACTAATATGGTTTTCTTACAGTACCTTAAAACACTGGAGTTTTTTTTCTTTTTAAGTAGATTTAGTATTTTTTCATTTTCTTAATGTACTAGAATTCAGTCATATGCAATCTAGATACTAAATTTCTTGGAATGAAAGTACGGTGATTCATGTTTGTCATTAGGATTGCTAAGAATATTGTTCAGAAGCATTATTTAGAAGTATTGTAACATGATTTGACCTGGTCATTTGCCAATTTGAGCACAATTAGACTCCTCCTGATCCAGAAACATTATAATATATTGTCTTCTTCTGATATATAATTCATTGCATACAAAAAGCTCATTCTACAACATGTCTAGAATGCATTGTGCCAAAATGCCATCAGTTGAGGCAGGACATGGAGATGTCAAATCCACAAATAAATATGGATGAAAATGATGTGGATCAAAAATAAGAAGAGACTTCATTTGTAAAGACGTTTTGCCTGTATATAAGTTTTCTTCTGAGTACAAATAGATAACAGGTATCCTTTCCACTAACCTCAACAACTCCTGTAGAATACTTCGGGTCACACATGGTGCCCACGTAAGCCAATCCTACAGTTGGTCCATCAAAGTCAATCCCCCTATAAGAAAGAAGGGGAGGGGGATAAAATTGATACAAGATAGAAGCACGTTCTATAGTTTTAGGACATACATAACTATGGCTTTCTGCAAACCCCTCAATCCGTCCTCAGTTACTACCAATTTTCAGAATGTTAGAATTCATTTTAGGCTCTAGTCTCAGAAACCATTTAACTAAGCAGGTCTGCTAAAAAATATTCAGGATGCATTTTCACTGTATGGTGAGTCTTGCTGGTGTTGGCATGAATTAGGTTGGGAAGAAGGGTTAGCATGTTGTCTGAATCCAGCCCATTGGGTTAATTTAATTCCATTAACTATGCAAACCCAAAAACATACTTATTTAATAGATTTTGTCTATCAACTTAGCTGTGTTGTTAAAAATGGTTTTGGGAAAGGTGATTGGGTGGCAAGTCAAATCAACATCTCTGGGAAAAATAAAATGGATTTTTTTTGTATTTTTTTTTGTAATATTCTCCCTTGCACTTAGATCTGTCCTCCATCTAACTCCTATTTCATAAGACCTACTGGTTATGCAAGTATCCTGTAAGATTGCTCAAAACACAATTGTTATTTGTGCAATATTTTATAGATATAAGACAATAACCATGTCAGTTTCCCACTCATAAAATTGAATGAAAATATACAGGCTGATGGGGTGTGGAACTGAGCAGTTAAGACACTGGGCTTGTTGACTGGAAGGTGGACAGTTTGAGACCTAAGTTCTGCCTGATGCAGTGAGCTCCCGTTACATGCTCCAGCTCCTGCCAGCCTATCAGTTCAAAAGCACGCAAACATGCAGTAAGTAAATAAATAGGTACCATTTTGGTGGGAAGGTAATAGCATTCCATATGCTTTTGGCATTTGATCATGCTGGAAGCATCTTTGGACAATGCTGACTCTTCAGCTTTGAAACAGAGCTAAACACAAACCCCTAGAGTCAGATATGACTGGCATGGAAACATTCACACACACACACACACACACACACACACACACANGAGGACTCCCAGATTGCGCGCCCTCTCTGAGGGGGCCAAAGATTCGCCCCCTATAGACAGTGATGGAACCAACTGACTATGCCGGGGCGCCGGCAGCCACAGCCACTCGGTCTTGGAAGGGTTGAGTCTGAGTCTGTTCCTTCCCATCCAGACCCGTACGGCCTCCAGGCAACGGGCCATCACGTCAAGGGCATCGTTGTTTATATACTGCTAAGCACTATGGATAGATTGGATATTTTATTATTTTACTTTATTCTTGGTTTATCTGTTGTATAATGCAAGTGTTCATTTAGTTGGTGCAGAATGGGAAGCAAAACATTATTTAATTGAATTAAAAATGCATGTGTAAGTAGAGCAAAAGTATAGCAGGATAATCATATAAATTTCAATTTTAAATCCAGGTGAAATGAAATCAAGCTGAGTTTTTCACCAGCACTCATTCAAGGACTTCTCAAAACCAGCTCTCATCTACAAAAAAAAAAAGTACTCTGTACAAGCACTAACCTCCCTATAACCCTCCACTCCCAGCCACCCCCACTCCCTTTCCCCACAATGAGACATACGTGAGTAACAGAGCAATATCATGACTTATGCGATGCAGCAAATCTCTCTCTCTCCATTCTCCAAATGAGTCCAAAGTATGAGGTGCTGCTGGCTGCACGTTAATCAAATCTTTGTTGGACCAAATTTCTAGGCCAGCCACTGCTATATCGATATGCATATAATGGTAACTCTGTCAGGTGGACATGGCATCAATCAGAAACTCAAACACAAGTAAACCTTGAGAAACATTTCAAGATTAAAAAGCAACCGACATTGGCCTCTATGGGCATGTGAAAAAAAAAATAGACTTAGGCATCAATAGAAGAGAAATCTCTGGAGCTCAATGTTGAAGTCCTGGGTGCTCTCTGTGTTTGCTGCTTTGCTTACTCATGTAGAGTAGTCAGATAATGAAATGTCTGCAAAGAAACCACCAAGCTCAGACAGCACTAAGGACTCTATATATTGGGGAATAATAATAATGTTGATGAGAGTTGACTCATCAATCTTCCTGTTCTCTCCCTGTTTCTAACTGATCATCAACAGTGAAAATGTAAACAAGGCTAATAGAAGACTGTGGTAGGAGTGTATCTCCTCCTAAGTACCAAAATCCAAGTCAAGTTGAATTCCTCTCTCCAGGCTTGTTCTCAGGGATCAGTTTCATAATCAACTGAGCTTGGAATAGGCTGACTCTGCCCATCTCTTTCTAATCTGCAAGATCAGAACCTTTAACCACAGCTCTGAAAGAATCCAGCTACAGATATAGTTCTGATTGAATTCTTGCAGCACTTTTGCCTTTGTATCCTCCCAACACAGTGGCTGTATTCCCATAACAGGCTTATTAATCTAGTTACTGAATTAACCCATTTTCTGGGATGGCCTCACATGGTGCATCACTAGCTGGCCAAATGACCTAGTTTTGCCTCACTCAAAGCCACAGAAGTTAGCATTCTTGTAGAAATCCATCTTCTTTCTCTCTTTACCTGGCTAAGTGTGTTGTATGAACACAGTGAAAATCTGGGCTGGGGCTGAGAGAAGTTTAAAATCAACAAGTGAAATAATATTTGCGTTCTTCTCTTACCTCCCTCATAGTGTTGACCATTTGATGTACTCGTTCTCTTATCTTATCTGAATCGCCATTGTATTTCGTGAACTACAGAAAAGATAAAAATGTTAAGATGAGATCATAATTATAGGAAGAAGGGAAAGAAGGAGGGAGAGAAAGAACATATCAGTGAAAGGATCATTGAATTTGTTGATGTAACAATAATTTTTATCCAAGCAGTCCAAAGAATTCTTTTGTGCTGATTTTTTAATCTACATTTTTGCTATTAATATATTAATGTTTTTAACTTTTCAGCAGCATACATGGGCTTTTTTCCTGGTGGGAGAAAATTTTGGTCAGCCTACTGAAATGCTTTTCTAAATTGGATGCTATATTTCCATGTTCAGAGATGTGTGAGATAAGCATTCTTCACTATACATCTTATTCTTCCGTGTGTTGTACAATTTGGACAAACAAAGAGTGCAGGAATGTCTCAAAGAAACCTACAGAACTGTTTAACCAGTGTGGGATAAAAATAAATTTAGATGGTATCCAGGAAGAACAAATGTGCAAATTAGAGTATATTCACAAATGTCTCTTAACTTTGTAAATATTTGTTGGATCCAATAACAAAAAATATCAAAGTTTATGATAAAGCACATTTTAAGAGAAAGCCAGTTAGGATGTTTATTAATCTCTTCAAAAATGCCCACATTAAAAAAGGCAGAAAGAAAATGCTGTGCTCAATGCAGAAAGAAAATGGAGAGATATCCAGGATACTTACCATTCTGTAGTCCGCAACTATGACAAGCTTAATGAATCTGAACTTGTTCAAGTATCTTTGTTGCTAAACAGAACAATAAAGAAAAGACTGTTTAGACATGTTGCTCCCAGCAGCCAACAAGAAGGTTGGTCATCATCAGATAATCAGAAAAGTGCTTGTTTTAATCTCTGATCAAAATACTTGAACTTTCAGAAATATTGGTTCTCTCAAGAAGACATTTACAGGGAGACAGCTGGTTAAAATTTTAGCTCTGGGCCTTGAGCCTTTCGGAACTGGGGCCTGGAAGTGGCAAGTGAGCGCCTGCATCTCCACTTGCATGACCAGCGAACAAGCATGGATGGGTGTGCTCCATTTGCATGAGTGGGTGCGTGTACATTATACAATAGATTGTCAAGCACAAACAAAAGTGGTCACATTTAAAAAAATTCAATTTCTTTGTATTAATAAGCTGTGGCACTTGTTTCCAATTAATCTGTTTTTGGAATTTATGATGCCTACATTTAAAGATAAAGGTATATATGAATACCTAATTCTGAACAGAATTTAATAGGAATAAGAACAGGCACATGAGGAAATTGCTCTCTTTGACTTGTTTTTCAACCTGTCTAAATGATGCTCCAATGACTTTCTCACCTTTCCTTCCCTTTCTCAAACAAAGGATCCCAACCAATCACATGAGAAACACGGTGATGTGGTCATGCTATGGAACCAATTAGACCTTGCCTGCAATCATATCACACTACGCATCAAAGACAAGGTAAGGGGAGGCAATCAGACATTTTGACCCACTGAACTCACT